TGCTTTGGTAGCTATAGGAGTAGTTTTGACACAGCAAGTTTAACTTATAGCTGTTTTACTTAAAAAAGAAAGCAAAAATTACCTTAATTCAAGAAATAGGCTTATCCAGCATACGTGTCCATAATCTAACAGTGTTCAGGTTGATCTCAAAATACTTTAACTTACTGTCTTTAATCTTCAGTGGTTAGTGGTTTAAAAGACAGTTCTTCAACCATCAGTGCTCAGGTAAATGTATTTTTTTCCACAGTATTTGTTACTTATTTATAAAGAAACTATTCCATAGCTCAGCAATCATGTTTCATAGTTCAGGAACACAGGTCAGTGATAAATTTCCATGGAACTCAACCCAAAGAAATTCTTAACATTCCAAAATCACTTTCCACTCTGAAAGATACCAGCCTTTTTCATCTCCTCAAAATCTCTCACGGAATCATAATTTCTGTAGAAATCTGCGTATCCTTCTTTCTTGATTTGGCCACAGCAAACTTCTAGAAAGCTGCAACCCCTAGGGAATGTTCCAGCAATATGAAATCGCAGGTGCTTGGCCAGAAGGCCTTCCCATCTGAGGTTTCGGCAAGCCCTGGAAGTCATGGTAGTTATTCTCCTTAACACCCAACCTCAAACCCCACGTCTTTCCTAACTCCAGTAAATGTGTATTTTAATTAAGTCTGATTTCACTCTGCAGGGGGAACACACCCGAAACTAGAGGAACAGCTTATGTGGTCTATGAAGACATCTTTGATGCCAAGAATGCATGTGATCACCTTTCAGGATTCAATGTTTGTAACAGATACCTGGTGGTTTTGTACTATAATGCCAACAGGGTAAGTATCAGGCCACAGTCCTCATTTTGTGGGGAGTCCATGTTAAGAAGTAGTGTACCGTGAGGGGAAGAGTATACTGTGAGTTCTTGGTTCGCTAGTGCTACTGGTGAAATTCATTTGATGACAGATCAGTAACTGTTAACCTTGGTGCTTACCACATTTCAGGCATTTCAGAAGATGGACACAAAAAAGAAGGAAGAGCAGTTGAAGCTTCTCAAGGAGAAATACGGCATCAACACAGATCCACCAAAATAAACATTTTCTGCATTTTCATTTTAGACTAAAACCCACAAGTGACCACATCACCCTTTTCTTATTTTTAAGTAATGCTGAATGTTGTAATTTCTTATTCGAGATTCAAAAGGACCTGCTTGAAACTTTGATACATGTTAGAATGTTATATGAATAAACTTGTAAACTTTTTGTAAAACATGTCAGTGTTTTCTCTTAAACTTTCCCTTTTTATCTGATACCAGAAAACAAATCAGCAGTTGAACTGTATCAAGAATTGTTTGGTGGTAGGTGGTCACAGAGACCAAGCTTCTTAAGAGCAGGGAGCTTTTTGTATTCTTAATGTCTCTGATGTTCAATCCAATGCTTAGCCTCAGGGAAGATTTTAGAGTGTTGTCATTTATTGAATGTTAACAACTCAGTGAAGGTAGCTATCTCCATTTTGCAGATAAGGAAACCAAAGCTCATTGTGTTGGTTGAATGAATAAAACGTTTACTTTAAAAGTTGCTGTAACATCCACCAGTATTAACCATACCAGTACATATGAATAATACTTGCCTTACAGTGAACAAAACACTTTGTCCATGTCAGTGTGCCGTCCTTAGAAGTCAGTTTTAGAAGTGGCCATTCAGATGACAGCACACTGTTAGAAATTGGAGAGCATGTTTCTTGGGTAGTGGTGTCGGTTGTTACATGTCTAAGATTGTGTTATGCAGTCTTTTCCTTTAGTTAATAAGTGTCTGAATATCTTGGACCTTAGGTCATAGTATATCTTTGCCATAAATAGAATATAATGCTTTTCTTATATATAAAATTTAATGCTTATTCTTATAACCATACGCTCCCATGGCATGGAAATAGTATGTTTATTACCACATTCATCATAGCTTGGCAACTTGGAGGAGATAGCTGTAATTTTCTTTTTATAGTTTAGACATGGGCCAAATGGAAAAACATGAACCAATTGTTTTGTATATAACTATAGCCCAAAATCAATTTGAAGGGTATAAGCACTGAATCATTTAAATGGACAAAAAGCATCTCTTCTACTTTTAAATGCATTTGGCTTTGCTATCTGTGCTTACTTTAAGCTAATACGCTCTTTTATACTTCTGGTACTGTCTTCTCAAAGCTTACTATTGAAAATGAAGAGATTATTCCTATTAATTATGTCAGTGCTTTCTGAAAGCGCTGTAAAAGGCTAGAAAGAAGCATTTCTAAGAAGGGCAGGGAGATGACAAAGGAGCCATAGCTTTAATTTCCTTCTGAATGCTTTTATGAATTCCTTATTAATTTGTGTAAAATGCATGGTGTGCCTCTAGGTATTTACCAGTGTAAAATAATTTTCTAAAAGACTTTTTGTGAGGGGAAAACAGACTTCGAGTGTGCTTTGTCTAAGTGGCAGACTGGCTTGCCCTAGTGCAGTTTTTTTAACTTAATAACAAGGGGAAATTGCTTCTGTTGGCAATTACAGCCAGTCCTGTCCTTTGGATTAGTACATCTGTTAGCTGAATTTCATGACCTAAGGCTAAGAGCTTTTAAAATCCCAGTTGTCTAGGGCGCCTGGGTGGCACAGTCAGCTGAGTGTCCGACTCTTGGCTTCAACTCAGGTCAAGATTTCAGTGTCGTGAGACTGAGCCCCATGCTGGGCTCCATGCTCAGTGTGGAGTCTGCTTAAGTTTCTCTCCCTCTGCCCCTCCCCCCAGTTCTATCTCTCAAATAAATAAACCTTTAAAAGAATTTTAAAAATTAAAAATTCCAATTGTGAGGCAACTGGCTGGCTCAGTCAGTAGAGCGTGTGACTTGATCTCAGGGTCGTAAGTTCAAGCCCCACGTTGGGTGTAGAAATTACTTAAAATCTTTAAAAATTCCAGTTTGGCAGTTTTGTGGCCTGTCCCACTTAAAAGAACTGGAATTCTGTAGATAAATATTGAGCACCGACTCTGCGCCAAGCCTGTGTGCGCTAAGATGCTGAGGATGGACTTTTCATCAATCTTCTACACCAGGCATCTCAGGCTATTTCTGAGACTGCTTTTAAGAGTACAAGGGATGATGGTGTTGTGTTCATGCACATGTATGCATATAGACGTGTGCCAGAGCTGCTTTATATCCACCTAGGTTAAATTTTGAGTTTCTAAGAAAGATTTTGTATGAATAGACTGGAAATTTGAAAATGACTACTAAGACATAGATCTCATTACCACTTCCCTGCTTAACAACTAAATGGCTCTCACATTACCACTTCCCTGCTTAACAACTAAATGGCTCTCACAGGACAGTGTCCAAACTTGTTAGCATACAGTCTCATAATTTTCTGCATCATCTTTGAAGAGCACCAGGAACGCAGGGCCTGTGAGGCCTAGCATATTCTCTTTTTTTTTTTTTTTTTTTTGGGGGGGGGATATTCTGTGTTTTTTTTCCTTTTTTTTTTTTAAGGACTCTATTCATTCATTTGACAGAGAGATAGCACAAATAAGCAGAGTGGCAGGCAGAGGGAGAGAAGCAGGCTCTCTGCTGAGCAGGGACCCCGATGCGGGGCTCGATCCCAGGACTCTGGAACCACGACCTGAGCCAAAGGCAGCCGCTCAACCAACTGAGCCACCCAGGTGCCCCGGCCTAGCATATTCTTTCCAGGTGCTAGCCAGTAGTTGTTTGCATTGGTGTGTTTTGGTTTTCTTCGCGGGTGTCTCCCATGACCACCTAGCCTCTGAATACTCTACACTGAGATCTTTCTTCAGCTCCACGGTGGACACCCAAAATGGTCTTTGATGCCATTTTTAATTTTATCCTATTGATGTCACAGCAGAAAACAAGAGTACGTCTCTTATACAGGCAAAGTCCTAAGAAATTTTCAGACATCTGTGTCATTGAGAAAAGCTGGGGACTAAGACATTCTGAAGGAAGGAAAAAACCAGAAGGGAATGAGTGCAGCTCCCTCTGGCTGGTCTGCTCCCACAACAGAAGTGAGACCAGGGATCAGGTAATTAAAAGCAAAGCACCCCCTTTCTCAGTTCTTTTCCTCCATCTTAAAACACGGCCTCCTAACTCCTTGATCCTCAGCAGAGGAATACAGCCAGGGCTTCCTGGAGACAAAAGGGGTAGATGAAGCCGCCAAGATGACATGGGCCCGCATCTCATGTATGACATTATGTGACACGTATCAGTGAATCTATGCGGGAAAGTAAGTACTGACCGACCAGCCTCTCAATCTTAATTCCAAGTCCTCACTGACAGAATAACCCTGACTATGGCTAAGAACTTTTCTCAGCTATGTCAAAAGAAAAAAATTCTTAGCCACATTGCCCCAGGCTCCACATTACCACACCAGTAAGTGGGCTGGTTATAAAACCCAACTGGGAATTCCCATAAGTTAACAGTAAATATAGATGAAAATAAGCAGTACATATGGAAACAAGTTCAGAATCATAATACCCCAGTGTAAGGGCAAAAGTAAATAAATGCAAAAACAAGCTCAGAACCACACATTCTTTTCAAAAGTAACTTCTCAGTGTGAGTTAGCACATGGCTCCAAGACCTAACACACCTTCATTCGTTCAGGCATGGTGGTCTTTTCCCTCTGGGTGAGGGGAGCTTGTCCCTCTAAGTCCAAACACATTGCAAGGTCACAGAGGGTGTTCGGATCTTAATGCCGCATTGCTTGGCTATGGGGTTTGAACATAATATATCCCTTCAATTAGAGAAGAATTCTGAGCCTGTGAGGTGAGTGGCAAGTTAATACCTACCTTGTTGTGCTGCTTAGAGGGTTGGTGGCAATTTCATTTAAAAATATATAGAACAAGGCCAAGCATGTACAAAACTCACATCATAGCTGTTTATCATTCCTGGCTACTTGGAAGGCTCCCTTCCACTCTTTCCCAAGGGCAACTGACTTATGGAGTCCTTAAAGCACTTCCTTCCTGCAATAAGGATGGACAGGAATTTGTCAAGCACATAGCCTTTATTTTACATATCATTTCCAAAGAGGACATTGTGTAAGTCAGCAGCCAACAGAATTTCTAAGAGAGGAAGTGACAGCAAAGGTAACTGGCTCAAGTCCCTCTGTGTATACCATGTACATTTCATGTCTGAGCACCTTGTGTGTCTGGCTTAAGTAAGGCAGTGTAGATTGTGCGAACAAGAAATCTGTATTCTGTGGTCAGAAATGGCTACGACATGCATCACGCAAAATGCACAACCTGAAATGCTTTGATCTGCAACCGAAGTTTCCTCAAGCAAAGATGTGCGTGAACGATGACAAACACATACGGAGCAACTTGGGCAGAGCATGGATAATGCTGTGCGGCTGTGAGGTTAGCGCACTGATCAAGAGCCCCGAGCAGGAGGAGCCGTCCCAGTGGCCGAGCAGGCTAGGAGGGTGAGCAGCCGCCATCTCCAGCCACCTCGAGTTCCTTCCTGCCTTCACTCTAAGTTGAGCAGCTCCACGTCAAAGATGAGAGTGGCATTGGGAGGGATGACACCAGGGTGGCCCGTGGCTCCATACGCCACATCAGGGGTGCAGGTCAGCTTCGCCCTCTGCCCCAAGCTCATCTAGCAGGGATGGGGGCAGATGGGGAGAGGAGAAAGAGGACCCAGCTTGATTTAAAAGAAAAAAGTAAGATAACTATGGCATTTTCCCACACCATCCTCAAGGTAACTGAAGATCTGAGATGAATTTTCTGAGTGGCACACTGGAGTGACGCAGGATTTAGATTCCGCCTCAGACCAGCAGAGACTTCACTGTGGGGCAGTCACTTCCACCAAAGCAGTCCCAAATTCATTCATCCAACAACCACTGCTGGTTATTCAATTAGCGCATGGCCCCAAGACTTCGATTTGTTCATAATCGTTCCTCACCCTCTTCCAAAAGAACGTAAAGAGGTTGTATAAAGGACACACATCCAAGTATACACTCAAGGAGTTAACAGGAGCAGTCCATTAAGGACGTGAAGCCATCAGAGGCCACCTCGAGGTGGGGAGGGCTGAGGGACCTACTCCAACAGAGCACTGAATGGCCTCAGAGACCGAGGGAGAAGGGCATGAACAAGGGCTCACCATGGCAGTCATCAACACCTGGCACTGGTAGGACAGGTGAAATTTGAATAAAGCGGTGAAATCTGAATAAATCGATTTTTAAATTTTGAATAACCAACCCTCAAAATTGAATGGATTGGTTCATAGTTCTGTATCAATGTTAATGTGTCATTGATCACAAACTCATGTAATTTGATCACTGTACTATGGTTGTGTAAAACATTCACACGTGGGGATTCTGGGTAAAGAATATATGGGAACTATTTCTGTGATATTTTTGCAAGTCTGAAATTTTTAAGTTAAAACAAAACAAAACAAACTTGGGTCTCTCCACCCTCCAACTCTCCTGCTGCCTCAGTTTCAGACAGCTGGTAGCTCACAGGCCTCCCAAGCTAGTTCCGAGCAAGCCTGGAGGGATGTGCTTGGAATGAGAGCCCCCAGTGTGACTTGAAGGGGTCATGCTGGCAATGAGAGGGAAGGGGTGGGGGCACAAAGCCAAGGACAGAATTTGGCTGGCATTCCTGGCAGTAGAGGCCAAGCCACGGCAGTCTGTAATAGGGCAAGGGCAGCGTACTGAGCCCAGACTCCCGACTCCCCGAATCCCCCCTACTGAGGATTCCCATCCTACCTGGGCTGCACCCTCTTCAAAACCCTTGATGACTTCCTGTTTGCCAATTCGGAACTTGAAAGGTTTGTTTCTGTCTCTGGACGAATCGAATTTCTTCCCATTTTGGAGCATTCCTGTGAAAGCAAGAAGAGAGGGGCGCCTGGGTGGCTCAGTGGTTTAAGCCTCTGCCTTCAGCTCAGGTCATGATCTCGGGGTCCTGGGATCGAGCCCCGCGTCGGGCTCTCTGCTCAGCGGGGAGCCTGCTTCTCCCTCTCTCTCTGCCTGCCTCTCTGCCTACTTGTGATCTGTCTCTCTCTGTGTCAAAGAAATGAATAAAATCTTTAAAAAAAAAAAAAAAAAAAAGAAAGCAAGAAGAGGATGGAGAAGGGCGGCGGCCAGGAGTTAACTCCCAGATCTGGGGCCGCCAGTCTAAAATGGAATTCTTATTCTGCAAAAACCTGTGCCTCTTCCAATCTCCCCACCTGCCCTGTCACATAAGTTCCTCCATTCCAGCAGGAGCTCCCCGAGGCAGAATCGGAAGGCCTACACTGGGTGCAGGCACTTCCAGACCCCGCGACTGCCTGTCTGATAACCCTCTCTGCTTCCCCCTGCCTTGCCTTTCCCCCATGTCCTATTCAGGTCACACCTTTCTCAAATACCTCTGTGCTTTACAGCCTTTTCTGTGCCACTTCCTCGGCCCGAGGATGTTTCTGCCTCAGGCTGCCTCCCCACCTGCTTTTCACAAGGTTCCCCTGACGTGCAAAACCCAAAAGCCATATCATTCCTTCGGGCAATGAACAGAGCAAAGTGACCCAGTCAAGGGTGGCCACCAGACCCCATCAAAAGGGCCTATTTGAACCTGGAACAGCTCAATGCTGTCTCCCAGTGTAGTTGCCTTGTCATCCCTGATGTACAAATATTGTCTCATTCCTGCCAACTAAGGCTCAAGAGCTGTTTTTCTGTTTTTAGATCATATTGGTGATTGGCTCAAAGATCAGACCTTCTTTTTAAAGATTTATTTTATTTTATTTATTTGAGAGAGAGAGAGAGAGCAGGAGAGGGGAAAGGTCAGATGGAGAAGCAGACTCCCTGCTGAGCAGGGAGCCCAATGTGGGACTTGATCCCAGGACTCCAGGATCATGACCTGAGCTGAACGAAGGCAATTGCTTAACGAACTGAGCCACCTAGGTGCCCCAGATCAGACCTTCTATAAACGATGCCCTCCCACGATTTCTTCCTGCACCCCGCAGATCACAACAAAAGACAATTTTAGACCAGAGAAAAATCTGGCCCGTAAGTTCAGAGACGGGATTTTGACTTCATGCTGGCAATAACTCCCGTGTAAAGTTAGGTAAATCACTTCCTTTCTCATGTCCTCAGTTCTGCCATGTTTAACATGGGAGTTCAGGACAGGCTTAGTGTGTGAGCATCTATGACTCCACTTTCTAATTCCTACCACTTAAATGTATGCAAGGGGCAGTCTCATTTTCCTGCTTTCTGGGTAGAATAAAATGGACTCTTACCCTGGGTACAAAATCAGGCAAAGGAGAAAACCCTGCGGCTACACAGATGGATACTAAGGAGATCGAATACAAACTCAGGCACACACACAGGTTGCTAAGATAGAGATACCCGTGTGAGCTCATGGGCACTTATGCACCCACATTCAGAAGAAAGACCCAATGGTCAAACAGATGCGAAGAGAAGATTTAGATCCACGAATCTACATACATTCACCCAGACGCAGACTTGGACAAGTACACATACGACTATTCACACACACGTTCCCTTTGAAAACTGCTTTCTCATTTCCCAACGTCTTCAGGTTTCACATGACTTAATATACTTCGGACCCTATATAGTCATCTACTGCTACAAGTTCAGCCGAAACCATGCAGCCCAGAAACGGAAGCACAAATATACGGTTACCTGATTCAACAAAGGTGTCATGGCAATGCAGCAGATAAAGGATGATTTTTTTTTTTAATAATTAATGGTGCTAGATCAACTGCATATCCGTATGGAGAAAAAAATGAACCTTGACCCTTACCTTATGCACACATAAAAATCGATTCCAGATGAATGAGAGACTTAAATATGAAAAATAAAATAATAAAGCTTTTACAAGATAACAAACAGAAGAATATCTTCATGACCTAGGGACAAAGATTTCTGAACTGAACACAAAAGTACTAACTATAAAGGAAAAGATCAGTATGTAGGACTTCATTAAAATTAAGAACTTCTAGGGGCACCTGGGTGGCTCAGTTGGTTAAGCATCTGCCTTTAGCTCAGGTCAAGATCCTAGAGTCCTGGGATCAAGTCCTACATCGGGCTCGCTGCTCAGCAGGAAGCTTGCTTCTCCCTCTGCCTCCTGCTCCCCCTGCTTGTGCGCTCGTTCTCTCTCTCTCTCTCTCTCTCTCTCTCTGAAAAATAAATAAAGAAAATCTTCAAATAAAATAAAGAACTTCTATTCATAAAAATGCCATTAAGAGAGTAAAAAGACAAGTGCTGGCATGGGTGGTGATTTGAATCAGTATAACTAACAAAAGACTTGTATCTACAATATATAAAGAATTCTTGGGGCACCTGGGTGGCTCAGTCGGTTAAGCATCTGACTCCTGATTTCAGCTTGGGTCATAACCTAAGGTTGTGAGATTGAGCCCCAGGTCAGGCTCTGTGCAGGTGTGAAACCTGCTTAAGATTCTCTCTCTCCCTCTCCTGCTGTTCCTCCATCCCATGCTCTCTCTCTCTTAAATAATAATAATAATAATAATAATTTCCATAAGTCAATAAGAAAAAGACAGCCAACCCAATTTTTATATTGGACAAAACATGAGCAGACTAAAGAGTATATCCAAATGGCCAGTAAGCACATGAAAAGGTATTCAACTTCATTAGTCATCAGGACAATGCAAGTCAAAAACCACAATGAAATACCACCGGACACCCACATTGGTGGGCCGAAAACAAAACAAAAACATGATGATGTCAAGTGTCAACGAGGAACTGGAACTCTCATACATGGCTGGTGGCAGTGGAAATTGGCATGACAACTCTGGGAAGCTATTTGGCAGTATCTGTTAAAGCTGAGCGTTGCTATATAACCCTATGCCCAAGTAACACCACTTCTGGGTGTATACCAACTGAAATGTGTACACAGGCCCACCAAAAGACACCTACAGGACTGTTCAAAGCAATACTATTCATAATAGCCAAAAACCCAAATGTTTATCACTTGTCGCAAAGATAAATTATAGTTTATTCATCATACAATGAACTGTACAGGAATAAAAAAGAATAAATCAGGGGCACCTGGGTGACTCAAACTGTTAAGCATCTGACTCTTGATTTCAGTTCAGGTCATGATCTCAGGGTCATGGGATCGAGCCCCCATGCTGGGCTCCATGTTCAGCGCAAAGTTTACTTGAGATTCTCACTCTCTCCCTGTCTTTCTGCCCCTCTCCCTGCTCATATGTGCATTCTCTCTCTCAAATAAATAAATCAATCTTTAAAAAAAAAAAAAAGAACCAACATAATCTCACAGACATAATATTGAGTAAAATAAGCCAAACACAAAGGAGTGCATACTCTATGATTCCATTTCTATGATATTCAATAAGAGGACAAGCCAGCCAATCGATGGGGACAAAGGTGTGAATGCTGGTTACCTTCAAGGAGGTCTGATGACTAGGAGGAAGGATTAGGGAGTTGCCTGGGCCGAAGCTCATTCTGGAAATGTAGATGCTGGTCTGGGTGGTGGTTATATTTAAGTGTAATCACTTCAAAAAATTTCATTGAGCTGTACATCTCAGATTTATGTTCTCTACTGTGTTTATATTTAATTAAGAAGTTTACCAAAAAGTCCCATACAGTCCCCTGCTAGGTTTGAGGAAATGGTCCCTCCCTAAACTAGAGGCACACATGTCCGATGTTAGTGTTTAATGCACATCACCTGCTCTCTGTATCTACTGTGAAAAGTCTTTGCAAAAGGATGTTGTGGTTTTAGTAACTTGATAAGTACTGGTCTGTCTACAACATGTAGAACAGATAAATCAATTACACAGGTCAGAGGCCTCAGAGGACTCATGGTAATTAGGCCACATCACCAGGAGATAAAACACAGCTCTAGCCCACTGACGTCAGCGACCGGCAACACAGCTGTTGAGAAATACCCACACTGTCTGCCTAGATTTAACCTGGCACTTCACACTGGCCCAGAGAACTGCTAAAAATGGCCCCATCTGAATACATCCTAGGAATTAAACTGGCCTTGCTGTCTGCTAAGTGGCTGTCACCAAGTTTGCCACATTGGGAAGCAGGTCACAAGGCAGAGCACTCACGCCTCTGGGAACAAATACCTGCTCGTGATCTTCCTGCCAGCAGTCCTCAGGAACTCCATCTAGAATGATCCTCAGCCCACCTGACCTTCCAGTATAGAGCATCCAAGAGGGATCGGCAGAGATGTGGGGCCCTTCTCTCATTCCCACGGCACCTTGAGACAGGCACTCCTGTCACCCCCCCAACACTGCCTGAGAGCCTCTGGATCACCAGGCTGTCCCACTCTCCAAACTCCCCAAAGAAGAAAGGAATCCTCCCTTTTCATCTGTGTGTCCCCAGTGCCCAGCACAGCATGTCGCACACAGTAGGTACTCAATAACAGTAAGTGAGTCGAATAGTCTACTTTTGAAAAAAGAAAGGAAATGCTGAGGAAGTCAACCTCCTCTTCTCTAACAACATTGTAGGAGGAGAGACGAGTCTGCAGGGAAGATCAGGGCTCTCAGGGCTTTAAGAAGGGACTTCTACATATCAGACAGGACCAGGAGGGCCAGGCTCCACGCTGCCCACCACAGAGGGAAGAGAATGGAGGTGCTTGGCTCAGCTAGAGGCTGGTTCCACACGCAGCTCCTGCTGAGACAAGTGGGGAAGGGGTATCCTTGCAAGCCCCCTTTCCTGTATGCACAGGGCTGGCTCAAGAAGTGAGGGGAGCCTACCTGTGTAGTGCACCACACACGTCTGTCCCTTCTTGGGGAACGTCCTTCCTGCAAAGAGACGTGAATGAATAAGGTATTGGAAAAAGTTCCCTGGGATGTTCAGGTGTGCATGTGACCCGGAGGTCTGGCCCACATTTCCCTCCACACCATGGAGATGCCCACGGCTCTACTTCCGGCTCTGTGCCTTGTATGAGCCAGGCTGGTCCCTTCACCTCTCTTTATTTGATTTGAACTTTATTCCCTTGCATTCCTCCACTCCACTCTCTCCTTGTTATTTTCCTTTCTTCAAGTTCTCCTTTTACTTTCCTTCATTCATTTCCCAGACATTGACTGACAGCCTACTATGTGCCTGGACCAGATTCCAGAAACACAGAGCCATCAATGAACTCATGGTGAAGTCAGGGAAACAGACACATAAATAAATAATAGATTATAGTGCAGGATGATGGCTGTAATCAAGGATTAAGAAGCATAATCATTCACACATATTTACAGAATACCTACTACATGCGAAGCCTGGGCCTGATTTCAGGGACCTGGCAGGAAACCATACAGACAAGATCCCTACTCCTCTGGAGTTCACATTCCAGTGGAGAGAAACAAACAGTACTCAAATAAACAAGACGATTATAAATCATGATAATTCTCTAAAGGAAAGAAACACAATGACAAGTTAAAGAAAGACGCGATGGACAGGCCATTTTAGAAAAGGGTGGCCTCTCAGAAAAGGTGACATTTGGGCTGAATCTTGAAGGATGAGTAAGATGCTGGGAAAAGCACTGCAGGAAGAGGGAGCTGCATGCACATCAGCTTTGAGACAGAAAAGGATTGGAGCATTTGCAGAAGAGAACCGAAGGCCCTGTGACTGGAAAGAAGAGAGGGAGACAAGTGGGAAAGAGCCGGATCACAGTGGGGGTGGGGGGGGCATCGCGGAGCTGGATTCAACTCCAAGTGCAATAAGAAGCCACTGGAGGATTTTAAGCAAGAGAATGACATAATCTGAATTAAGATTTTATAAGATCACTCTGGCTGCTGCGTGTAGGATGGACGATTAGGCGCCTCTTGCAATAATCCAGACAGGAAATCAATTATGGCTTGAATTAATGTGGTGGCAGCAGAGAATAGAGCAAAATAGATATATTTGGGAAATGAGGCTGACAGGGTACATTAACGGAGTGGGGATGGGGTCCAGGAGGAGGGAGAAGGAGAAATTGAGTACAATGCTTGGGTTTTCAGTTTGGGCTACTGGATGGACCGTGAACTAATTCCAGGTGGGGAAGACTGGGGAGGAGCAGATTTGAGCAGTTGGCAATCTTGAAATGCCTATTAGACATCTGAGTTTATACTGCAAGTAGGCAGATGGAGAGTCTGCACTGGAGGTATAAATCTGGGCGGAATTTAAAGCCACAGGCCTGGATGGCAAAGCTTAGGGTGGCTAACAACTGAGTCAACACGTTGAGGACTCTACGGGAGTCAGGGAAAGCATCAGAAAGGAGATAAGGGTTAAACTGGGTCTTAAAGGATTAATAGTTTGCCAGAGGAAATAAAGGGAGATAATCTGGGAAGAGCGAACAACACATTCAAAGGGCCAGTCGAGCACTAGTGAGAGCCCTGTCTGGCTCACTGCTGTAACCCCAGGGCCTAGCACAGAGTACGTGTTCAATAAATATCTGCAGAATGACTGGTGTGTTTAACCACTTTGCAGGAGCTTGCTGAAGTTGGAGAAAAAGGTGGTAGTGGGGGTAGGGGCTGTAGTAAGAGAGGAGGATTGACTGTGGAAGGTAAGACTAGGCTAGATCACCATTTGTCTGGAGAACGAAAGGGAAGGCTCATTAAAACACAAGGCAGGGGGTGGGGTGGGGGTCAGTAGAATGGGACGGGAAAGGTCACACATACATTTTAAAGGGTCCTCAGGCTATGGTGTGGAAAATAGGTGGTGAGTTAGGGAGACCCAATGGAAGGCAAAGAGGCAAGACTGGAGGTGGGGTGACTAGTTTAGAAGATGTGCAGAAATCCAGGTGAGAGATGATGGTGGCTGGAACCAAGGCAGGGACTAATGGGATGGAGCCTAGAGATGTTCAGCAGAAGGACGAGTCCTGTCAGACTTGCTGTGGGGTTCAACCAAGATGCGGTGTCCCCAGTGCTAACAGCACAACAGCTCAGCCCTTCTGTGTCTTCTTGCTGGACTCAGGGGTTTAGACTGTTGAAAGCAGAAGGCCAAAGCTCTTTCAGGCTTTCTCTAAAAATCTAATCTCCCTCAAGAGAAAATGCCCTTTGTCCTTGGCCAGGGAGAGAGGATAACCAGAGAAAACTATAAAGGCTACTTCGAGCCAGGGAAGGGAGAAGAGGCCTCCAGCCCTCTGGCAGAACTCAGTGGCAGGGCTCTGGGGTGTGACGAGGTCTCAGGGTGACGCTTCCTGGGACCCAGCATCATGGTTCCCAGCGTGGACAAAGAAACCTGTACCTGCCTGGTGATGGGGTAAGGGGCCGGGACCCTCTAGAAACCACTGCCTTTTAACAAGGAGGGTGGCCTGGAACCAAGAGGTGCTCTAATTTCCTAGGAAGGGTGGGAGCTGTCAGTTATGTCTCACATGAAGTCTGTCTGTCAAATTCTGCAGAAATGGAGGCTCTGGACTGGATTAAGTTTCATTTTAAAAATTTAAAAATGGCTATTCTTGCACATCCAGACCCAATTATGCAAGAGATGTCTGGCCTGTAAAGTGAGTGGTGCCAGTCCCGGGGGCAGGGAAAAGGGAATAACAGAGGAGTGCTTGGGAGTAGGGAGGACAAGGAGCATGAGTTGTTTTGGACTTTCTGAATTAGGTATCCATGGGACATCCAGGCAGAGGTCGAGCAGCAGTTGGATAAATAGACCACCTTGAACTCGGGTCGTAGGTCTGGGCTGGAGGCTTAAGTTTGGAGGCCATCGGTTTGCAGACGGTAATGAAAGCCATGGGAGTGTACAGGATGGCTGGAGAGGCTGAGTGGGGCGGGGAGGATAAAGCAAGATGCAGAGGCGGCGGAGGGAGCGCTTCTTCCTTCCCAGACTGGCTGGGTCCCCACTACGTCTCACCGCCCAGCCCACAGGGGCCGCCTGACCGGAGGCCCGGAGGGGGGCGCGTTAGAAAGAGCTGCCCCAAGCAGAAGGGATCCCTTCCAGCTGTCCCCAGAGCTCACCTAGCAGACAGGGAAAGCAGAGCTAAAGCCCTGCCCTGGGAAATCAGCAGTAGCAGATAAGTGAGAGGTTGCAGCCGCGGCAGCGGCGGCGCGAAGCCCCCGGGGCGGTGGCGGGCCGCAGACCCCCGCCTCCTGGCCACCGCCTTCGATCCCCTAGGTGAGCCGGCGCGGAAGGGGATGGTGGAGGATCGTCTGCTAGACCCCCAACAATCCTATCTGGGGTCTCCTCCCGCCGCCCCCATCCTATGCCCGCCCCCGACTCAGCACCCTCCGCGCCACCTCTGAATCAGACCCCCGCCCGCCCGGCTCCTCCCCGGGACCCTTCCTCCTCCCCCGGCTCCGCCGCCCGGTACCGTCTCCCGGGGAGATGGTCTCGATCTCCACGCCCATCGCAGTCCCACTGGCCCCGCCTCCGAGGGTCCCCGCTGCTGCCCCGACCCCTGCTCGGCTCCGGCCCTGGCCCCGCTGGCGCTCCGGCTCGCCTCCCCGCCGCCACTGCAGAGCCGGAGGAGGTGCGGCGGGAGTCGGGACCTGCGCGGGGAGGGGCCACGGGGAAGGGGGCGGCGGGGCGGAGCGGCGCGGAAAGGTGGGGTCGACTGGGGCGGGGCCCGGGAGAAGGGACCCTGACGCTGCTGCTCCCTAGCTTGGCCAGGCTTACGTTCATTAACTGCGGAGGATGGTGAGGAAGGCATGAGACACCCGCGCATCTATGCATCCATCCATCCATTTATCCATCGATCTATCCATCCGTTCAACACATTTATCTAGCATGTACTCTGTGCTAAGCTCTAGGGAATCAAACCGGTCCCACAGACTAGGGGAAAGCCGGCAACTAAACCAACACTTTAAGTAGATGCGCTCACTGGAGTTCAGAACGTTAAGAAAGCACCTGAGAGGTATTTACCCTAGCTCGATTGCCTGGAATGTAGGAGCATTCTGGGGACGCGCGGGGGGAGGAGGGGCGGGGGATGGGAGGGAGTGGGATGGCAGGAAGGGAGGAAACCAGTCATTACCCTACTGCAACCACCCTAAACCCCTATTCACCATCCCTTCTGCCCCACTCACAGGGAAATTCCCACCTTTCAAGGCAAAGAACTGCGCCCTGCGGATACCAATTAAATTAAGACAGAATCGCTGTCACCGGAGAACGAAATTTGGGACAGGTGGGGACACAGAGAGTTAGTTACAGCGTGGAGTGATTCGTGCTGTGGGATGAATGAGTAAATTCTATCCTGAGCTCCTCTTCCACGCCAGACCCCTCACCTCCACCCAAAAGAGTTCCAGGAATCTGGAAAGATCTTTGGAGGAGATAACATTTGCTTGAAGAATGAATGGAACTTTAATTTTTCCCTCTCTTTTTCTCTCATTTTTCCATGCCTTGTTTTAAAAATTGACGCGAAGGCATGATTCTGACCAGTGGTACTAGATCAGGATAAAAGCCTGATCAGAGGCATCCAGAATGGGCCCTGGAGTGTTCCTCCTCCATTCCCCACCCGCCCCCCGCCCCCACTGTCTAGGTGGTTAGGTCAGACTTCAGGTTATCAGCATCGCTGAAGGAGGACTGGCTGTTTTGTTCAAGGAAGATGATGGTCAACTGTACTGTGAGGGTCAGCATCTGAAATTCCCCATGGGCTGCTTCACGGCGTGGCCTAGAGTCTACCAGGTGTATAGCTGAAGTCTAGAGACACACTAGGTCCTTGGACTATGGCCGTGGGGAGGCACTCTTGGGGTAAGTGTAGAACAGGGGTTTGTAACTCGGACAGGTCCATGGAACGGCTTCGGTTGAATGCACAATATCTTGTATGCGGATAAGAACATTGTTGTGGGTAGATTTGATCACATTTAAATAAGTCCTCAACACCTTCTTACCCCTTTTCCCCTATCCTCTCCCCCAAAAAGTTAAGAAACCGTGTTGACTCTAGGGATCCTGTACTCTTTCCTAGACTAAGAATCGAGGAGAAGTGGAGGAAGGCTCTACTCTTACGCAGAGTCAAACTGTGGCTGGTTTATTGTAGATTAAATTTTACAGAAACTACTACTCCCAGAGATCTGTGCAGCAAATCCCCAGCTTACTGGTCAGGGGAAAGACCCTCCCCTAACGTGACACAAGCAAAAGCCAATAAGCAGAAGGCATTGTGGGGCGGGCCCGCTACCGATCACCTATCAGAGGCCTGGGAGCTGATGCTTCCGGTATTCGCTCTGGGCTCGGGATCCCGCGGCACCCGGGAGTCTTATTTTCTGTGGGCAGTGATACTGAAGGTATTTGTTTTTGCTGCTGCCCAGCTTAGCTGGTGTCAGGAGGTTGTGTGTGGGCCGGAGGGAGGTGGGGAGACCGGCACCTGTTGGGGAATGGGGAGGAGACCCAGGCGTGCTGAGAGGATGGGAAGAATGGGAGTAGGAGGCACGCGGGCGAAGGACTGGCGGCTGTGGACAAGCGAGGGATGGGTTTAAATATTTGAATATATTCCATGTGACTCATTAGTGACACTTCTGGGGATGTATCCTAAGGAAACCATTCGAAATGAAGAACATGCTTTATGCATAAAGACCTTTATCACAGCCTTATTTACCATAAGGTAAAGTTGGCTTTTAAACCTTAAAACCAAGCGTCGCAACAGTGAGGAAATATACGACTTGACTTAGTGAATATCAAGTGGCTTCTAAAAATAATTTATAAAATTTAAATGGCATGGAAAAACGATATGTAATAAGCGGAAAGTCGTGATATGAAATTGTATAGTATGAGTGAAAAAAACTTAACCAAAACTACATAGAAAAAAGCTCAGAGGGATGTAATCATAATTTTGTTCCTTTGGATGAATGTGGGGTTTTGTGTGTGTGTGTGTGATTTTACCTTTTTACCTTTCTTGTGTGTTAATTTTAAAAAGTGTAAAGAACTTGAAATTATTTTATAGTGGAAACACAATAAACAGAAAAACAAATTGGGGGTTGTGTAGCTCTGTTTAAACCAACTGGAAGTGGTCCGGTTCGCCTAAGCCCCTTGATACTCCCATGAGTTGTCTTTAAAGATTAAAAAACAGAATTAAATGGCCACAGGCTGAGCACCAGGTTTTGGTTCTGACCATCTCTCCAGAGAACTAATAAAACAGTGAGCTTTTCTTTCCCTAAAACTCCCTGAAATCTTATAGTCTGAGGGTTGAGAGACCAACAAGTATACAGTTAGCTTCAGGCAGAATTTAAATATTTTTAAAAATGCAAGGGGTGCCTGGGTGGCTCAGTGGGTTAAGCCTCTGCCTTGGCTCAGGTCATGATCTCAGGGTCCTGGTACAGAGAGCCCCGCTGTCAGGCTCTCTGCTCAGCAGGGAGCCTGACCCCACCCCTGCCCCCGCTGCCTGTCTGCCTGCTTGTGATCTCTGTCTGTCAAATAAATAAATAAAAATCTTTTTTTAAAAATGCAAGATAATTGGGAAACGCCTGAAGCCTGTTTCGACCTCTGTCCTCTTTCACTGTGATCTTTCACTGCCAGGTTGTCCACTGCTTTGGCTTTAACTACCTATATTGTGACAGTGACTCCCAAATCCTTGACCTCTGACTGCCTAAGGTACATTGCTACCCTATAGACATCTTAGATGAAGCAGATCTAATACAAAATTTATCACACACTGCACACCGTTCCTACCTCTGAAGCACACTCTGCCCTATATCTCTGATTAATGGTTCACAATTTCCCAAGCAAAAAATTTGTGTGTTGTCCTTAATTCTCCTTTCTTCCTCACCACTTATATCCTATCTGATATCACGATGTATTCCATCTGCCTTAGAAATCTCTCTTGAATCAGGCCCTCTTTCTCTACTGAAGTAGCTACAAACTTGGCTCCCTTTCTCATTGTGACATTCAAACTATATCGTGGCCCCTTATTCAACTTACCAGGCTTCTTCTTTCTGAGGTCTGTCCTGCACGTTCACATGAATGTGTGCTAATGCCTCCTAATTCCTCAGCAGCTCTTTGTGATCTGGGAGGTAAGGTTGGAAAGCTGTATCGATCTCAGAAAATAGAAGGCCTGAAATACCCTGCTAACACTGTAAGAACTTTTTTAATATGTGTAGACTGTAGAGACAAAGTATTTGAACAGAAGAACAAAATGACCATAGCTATGGTTTTTTTAAAAGAGGTGATTCTTCTCTGGGCCATCTGGGTGGCTCAGTGGGTTGAGCATCCAGCTCTTGGTTTCAGCTCAGGTCATGATCTCATTCATCCTGGGATCAAGTCTGTTTGAAGATTCTCTCCCTCTACGCTTCCCCTCACTCTCGCATGTACGCGTGCATGCGCACACTCTTTCTCTCTCTCAGATAAATAAATCTTAAAAAAAAAAAAAAAAAAAAAAGATGGTTCTGCCCAATCACGTAGAGCATCCAGCCTCTGTGGGAAGGAAGAGCCTAGCATCCAGAGAATATCTCCTTGACCTACCCTGCTAAAAAGGGAGAGGTGATCAAGACCTGAACTAGCAGTGGAGTACAAAGGTTTGGAACGAATTTTTATAATTTGTGTTAGGTTTTTGACAAATTTCTTCTTGTTACTAAGGATGAAAATACTAAAATTAAATTTTCTAAAAATCTCAGTAACATAATCATGTTTGTCCTTCTCTTATTTATAAATACTTACCCTATACTACCCCTGGTCATACATACCTTCAATGACATTAGCCTGACTTGAGTGGCCTAAAACATATCATATAAATTGCCTTTGATATAATTGGCCCGTTAGGAACTTTTTCTGCCCAGGAAAATGTATCATGCATTATTTATCAATAAAAGTCTTTTAAAAGTGCATAAGTAGATATTAGAGGGAAACATATATTATCTTATATAAGACCAGTGGGTTAGAGATGGCAGTTTTCTTCATTAGTAACAACAGGGGACTTACTCCTCCATTTAGCAAGCCACCACAGACCCACTTAATCTGACATCATGTGGAAGCATAATAGACTGTTCCTTCTTTTTTTTTTTTTTTTTTTAAAGATTTTATTTATTTGACAGAGAGAGAGTGATCACAAGCAGGCAGAGAGAGAGAGAGGAGGAAGCAGGCTTCCCGCTGAGCAGAGAGCCCGATGCGGGGCTCGATCCCAGGACCGTGAGATCATGACCTGAGCCGAAGGCAGAGGCTTAACCCACTGAGCCACCCAGGCGCCCCTAGACCGTTCCTTCTTAGTAAACAACTCTACAGGCAAGGACAATGTTAGCAAAGAGGTATGAGAAATAAGTTGCAGATAAGTTAAAAGCAAATCACCAGGCAGTTTGGTAGAGAATACATTTTTTTTTCAAGATTTATTTATTTAAAAGAGACAGCATGAGTGGGAGGGCAGAGGGAGAGGGAGAGAGAGTCGCAGACTCCCCATTGAGTGCAGAGCCTGAAGTGGGGCTGAATCCCATGACCCCGAGATCACCACCCAAGCCTAAACCACGAGTTGGACACCAAACCATCTGTGCCACTCAGGCACCGGGTAGAGACTGCATTTCTGT